CGGAGCGTCGCGATGCTCTCTCCGGACGCCCCAGAGTGCGCGCTGCTCTCCCCGGACGCCCCAGAGCGTCGCGATGCTCTACCCGGACGCCCCAGAGTGTCGCGATGCTCTCCCAAACCGCCCCAGAGCGTCGCGATGCTCTCCCAGGACGCCCCAGAGTGTCGCGATTCTCTCCCCGGACGCCCCAGAGCGTTGCGATGCTCTCCCCGGATGCCCCAAAGCGTCGCGATGCTCTCCCCGGACGCCCCAGAGCATCGCGATGCTCTCCTCGGATGCCCCAGAGCGTCGCTATGCTCTCCCCGAACGCCCCAGAGCGTCGCGATGCTCTCCCCGGACTCCTCAGAGCATCGCGATGCTCTCCCCGGACGCCCCAGAGCGTCGTGATGCTCTCTCCGGACGCCCCAGACCGTCGCGATGCTCTACCCGGACGCCCCTGAGCGTCGCGATGCTCTTCTAAGCCACCCCAGAGCGTCGCGATGCTCTTCCCGGACGCCCCAGAGCGTCGCTATGCTCTCCCCTAATGCCCCAGAGCGTCGCGATGCTCTCCCCGGACGCCCCAGAGCGTCGCGATGCTCTCCCCGGACGCCCCAGAGCGCCGCGATGCTCTCACCGGACGCCCCAGAGGGTCGCGATGCTCTCCCCGGACGCCCCAGAGCGTCGCGATGCTCTCCTTGGTCGCCCCAGAGCGTCGCGATGCTCTCCCTGGACGCCCCAGAGCGTCGTGATGCTCTCCCCGGACGCCCCAGAGCGTCGCGATGCTCTACCCGGACGCCCCAGAGCGTCATGATGCTCTCCCCAGCCGCCCCAGAGCGTCGCGATGCTCTCCTCGGCCGCCATAGAACGTCGCGATGCTCTCCCCGGACGCCCCAGAGCATCGCGGTGTTCTCCCCGGACGCCCCAGAGCGTTGCGATGCTCTCCTCGGACGCCCCAGAGCGTCGCGATGCTCTCCCTGGACGCCCCGGAGCGTCGCGATGCTCTCCCCGGACGCCCCAGAGCGTCGCAATGCTCTCCCCGGACGCCCCAGAGCGTCGCTATGCTCTCCCTCAACGCCCCAAAGCGTCACGATGCTCTCCCCAGACGCCCCAGAGCGTCGCGATGCTCTCCCCGGACGCCCCAGAGCGTCGCGATGCTCTCCCTGGACGCCCCAGAGCGTCGCGATGCTCTCCCTGGACGCCCTAGAGCGTCGCGATGCTCTCCCCAGACGCCCCAGAGCGTCGCGATGCTCTCCCCGGACGCCCCAGAGCGTCGCGATGCTCTCCCCGGACGCCCCAGAGCGTCGCGATGCTCTCCTCGGACGCCCCAGAGCGTCGCTATGCTCTCCCCGGACGCCCCAGAGCGTCGCGATGCTCTCCCCGGACGCCCCAGAGCATCGCGATGCTCTCACCGAACGACCCAGAGCGTCGCGATGCTCTCCCTGGACGCCCCAGAGCGTCGCGATGCTCTCCTCGGACGCCCCAGAGCGTCGCGATGCTCTCCCTGGACGCCCCGGAGCGTCGCGATGCTCTCCCCGGACGCCCCAGAGCGTCGCAATGCTCTCCCCGGACGCCCCAGAGCGTCGCTATGCTCTCCCTCAACGCCCCAAAGCGTCACGATGCTCTCCCCAGACGCCCCAGAGCGTCGCGATGCTCTCCCCGGACGCCCCAGAGCGTCGCGATGCTCTCCCTGGACGCCCCAGAGCGTCGCGATGCTCTCCCCGGACGCCCCAGAGCGTCGCAATGCTCTCCCCGGACGCCCCAGAGCGTCGCTATGCTCTCCCTCAACGCCCCAAAGCGTCACGATGCTCTCCCCAGACGCCCCAGAGCGTCGCGATGCTCTCCCCGGACGCCCCAGAGCGTCGCGATGCTCTCCCTGGACGCCCCAGAGCGTCGCGATGCTCTCCCTGGACGCCCTAGAGCGTCGCGATGCTCTCCCCAGACGCCCCAGAGCGTCGCGATGCTCTCCCCGGACGCCCCAGAGCGTCGCGATGCTCTCCCCGGACGCCCCAGAGCGTCGCGATGCTCTCCTCGGACGCCCCAGAGCGTCGCTATGCTCTCCCCGGACGCCCCAGAGCGTCGCGATGCTCTCCCCGGACGCCCCAGAGCATCGCGATGCTCTCACCGAACGACCCAGAGCGTCGCGATGCTCTCCCTGGACGCCCCAGAGCGTCGCGATGCTCTCCCCGGACGCCCCAGAGCATCGCAATACTCTCCCCGGACGCCCCAGAGCGTCGCGATGCTCTCCCCGGACGCCCCAGAGCGTCGCGATGCTCTCCCCAGCCGCCCCAGAGCGTCGCGAAGCTCTCCCCGGACGCCCTAGAGCGTTGCGATGCTCTCCCCGGACGCCCCAGCGTCGCGATGCTTTCCCCGGACGCCCCAGAGCGTCGCGATGCTCTCCCCGGACGCCCCAGAGCGTCGCTATGCTCTCCCCGGACGCCCCAGAGCGTCGCGATGCTCTCCCCGGACGCCCCAGAGCATCGCGATGCTCTCCCCGGACGCCCCAGAGCGTCGCGATGCTGTCCCCGGACGCCCCAGAGCGTCGCGCTGCTCTCCTCGGACGCCCCAGTGCGTCGCGATGCTCTACCCGGACGCCCCAAAGTGTCGCGATGCTCTCCCAAACCGCCCCAGAGCGTCGCGATGCTCTCCCCGGACGCCCCAGAGTGTCGGGATGCTCTCCCCGGATGCCCCAGAGCATTGCGATGCTCTCCTCGGATGCCCCAAAGCGTCGCGATGCTCTCCCCGGACGCCCTAGAGCATCGCGATGCTCTCCCCGGACGCCCCAGAGCATCGCTATGCTCTCCCCGGACGCCCCAGAGCGTCGCGATGCTCTCCCCGGACTCCCCAGAGCATCGCGATGCTCTCCCTGGACGCCCCAGAGCGTCATGATGCTCTCTCCAGACGCCCCAGACCGTCGCGATGCTCTCCCCGGACGCCCCAGAGCGTCGCAATGCTCTACCCGGACGCCCCAAAGTGTCGCGATGCTCTCCCAAACCGCCCCAGAGCGTCGCGATGCTCTCCCCGGACGCCCCAGAGTGTCGGGATGCTCTCCCCGGATGCCCCAGAGCATTGCAATGCTCTCCTCGGATGCCCCAAAGCGTCGCGATGCTCTCCCCGGACGCCCCAGAGCATCGCGATGCTCTCCCCGGACGCCCCAGAGCGTCGCTATGCTCTCCCCGGACGCCCCAGAGCGTCGCGATGCTCTCCCCGGACTCCCCAGAGCATCGCGATGCTCTCCCTGGACGCCCCAGAGCGTCATGATGCTCTCTCCAGACGCCCCAGACCATCGCGATGCTCTCCTACGCCGCCCCAGAGCGTCGCGATGCTCTCCCCGGACGCCCCAGATGGCCGCGATGCTCTCCCCGGACGCCCCAGAGCGTCGCGATGCTCTCCCCGGACGCCCCAGAGCGTCGCGATGCTCTCCCCGGATGCCCCAGAGCGTCGCGATGCTCTCCCCGGGCGCCCCAGAGCGTCGCGATGCTCTACACGGACGCCCCAGAGCGTCGCGATGCTCATCCCGGACGCCCCAGAGCGTCGCTATGCTCTCCTCGGACGCCCCAGAGCGTCGCGATGCTCTCCCCGGACGCCCCAGAGCGTCGCGATGCTCTCCTCGGACGCCCCAAAGCGTCGCGATGCTCTACCCGGACGCCCCAGAGAATCGCGATGCTCTCCCTTGCCGCCCCAGAGCATCGCGAAGCTCTCCCCGGACGCCCAAGAGCGTCGCGATGCTCTCCCTTGCCGCCCCAGAGCATCGCGAAGCTCTCCCCGGACGCCCCAGAGCGTCGCGATGCTCTCCCCAGACGCCCCAGAGCGTCGCGATGCTCTCCCTGGACGCCCCAGAGCGTCGCGATGCTCTCCCCGGACACCCCAGAGCGTCGCGATGCTCTCCCCGGACGCCCCAGAGCGTCGCTATGCTCTCCCCGGACGCCCCAAAGCGTCGCGATGCTCTCCCCGGACGCCCCAGAGCATCGCGATGCTCTCACCGGACGCCCCAGAGCGTCGCGATGCTAAACCCGGATGCCCCAGAGCGTCGCGATGCTCTCCCTGGACGCCCCAGAGCGTCGCGATGCTCTCCCCGAACGCCCCAGAGCGTCGCGATGCTCTCCCAAACCGCCCTAGAGCGTCGTGATGCTCTCTCCGGACGCCCCAGAGCGTCGCGATGCTCTCCCCAGACGCCCCAGAGCGTCGCGATGCTCTCCCCGCACGCCCCAGAGCGTCGCGATGCTCTCCCCGGACGCCCCAGAGCGTCGCCATGCTCTCACCGGACGCCCCAGAACGTCGCAATGCTCTCCCCGGACGCCCCAGAGCATCGCGATGCTCTTCCCGGACGCCCCAGAGCGTCGCGATGCTCTCCCCTGACGCCCCAGAGTGTCGCGATGCTCTCCCCAGACGCCCCAGAGCGTCGCGATGCTTTCACCGGACGCCCCAGAGCGTCGCGATGCTCTCCCCGGACGCCCCAGAGCGTCGCGATGCTCTCCCCGCACGGCCTAGAGCGTCGCTATGCTCTCCTCGGACGCCCCGAAGCGTCGCGATGCTCTCCCCGGACGCCCCATAGCATCGCGATGCTCTCCCCAGACGCCCCAGAGTGTCGCGATGCTCTCCCCGGACGCCCCAGAGCGCCGCGATGCTCTCCCCGGACGCCCCAGAGCGTCGCGATGCTCTCCTTGGACGCCCCAGAGCGTCGTGACGCTCTCCCCAGCCGCCCCAGAGCGTCGTGATGCTCTCCCCGGACGCCCCAGAGCGTCGCGATGCTCTCCCCGGACGCCCCAGAGCGTCGCAATGCTCTCCCCGGACGTCCCAGAGCGTCGCGATGCTTTCCCCGGACGCCCCAGAGCGTCGCGACGCTCTCCCCGGACGCCCCAGAGCGTCGCTATGCTCTCCCCGGACGCCCCAGAGCGCCGCGATGCTCTCCCCGGACGCCCCAAAGCAACGCGATGCTCTCCTCGGACGCCCTAGAGCGTCGCGATGCTCTCCCCAGACGTCCCAGAGCGTCGCGATGCTCTCCCCGGACGCCCCAGAGCGTCGCGATGCTCTCCCCGGACGCCCCAGAGCGTCGCAATGCTCTACCCGGATGCCCCAGAGCGTCCCGATGCTCTCCCCGGACGCCCCAGAGCGTCGCGATGCTCTCCCCGGACGCCTCAGAGCGTCGCGATGCTCTCCCCGGACGCCCCAGAGCATCGCGATGCTCTCCCCGGAGGCCCCAGAGCGTCGCGATGCTCTCCCCGCACGCCCCAGAGCATCGCGATGCTCTCCCTGGACGCCCCAGAGCATCGCGATGCTCTCCCCGGACGCCCCAGAGCGTTGCGATGCTCTCCCCGGACGCCCCAGAGCGCCACGATGCTCTCCCCGGACGCCCCAGAGCGTCGCGATGCTCTCCCTGGACGCCCCAGAGCGTCGCGACGCTCTCCCCAGCCGCCCCAGAGCGTCGTGATGCTCTTCCCGGACGCCACAGAGCGTCGCGATGCTCTCCCCGGACGCCCCAGAGCGTCGCGATGCTCTCCCCGGACGCCCCAGAGGGTCGCGATGCTCTCCCCGGACGCCCCAGAGCATCGCGATGCTCTCCCCGGACGCCCCAGAGCGTCGCGATGCTCTCCCCGGACGCCTTAGAGCATCGCGATGCTCTCTCCGGACGCCCCAGAGCGTCGCGATGCTCTCCCCAGATGCCCCAGAGCGTCGCGATGCTCTCCCCGGATGCCCCAGAGCATCGCGATGCTTTCCCCGGACGCCCCAGAGCGTCGCGATGCTCTCCCCGGACGCCCCAGAGCGTCGCAATGATCTACCCGGATGCCCCAGAGCGTCCCGATGCTCTCCCCAGACGCCCCAGAGCGTCGCGATGCTCTCCCCGGACGCCTCAGAGCGTCGCGATGCTCTCCCCGGACGCCCCAGAGCATCGCGATGCTCTCCCCGGAGGCCCCAGAGCGTCGCGATGCTCTCCCCGCACGCCCCAGAGCATCGCGATGCTCTCCCTGGACGCCCCAGAGCATCGCGATGCTCTCCCCGGACGCCCCAGAGCGTCGCTATGCTCTCCCCGGACGCCCCAGAGCATCGCGATGCTCTCCCCGAACGCCCTAGAGCGTCGCGATGCTCTCCCCGGACGCCCCAGAGCGTCGCGATGCTCTCCCCGGACGCCCCAGAGCGTCCCAGACGCCCCAGAGCGTCGCGATGCTCTCGCCAGCCGCCCCAGAGCGTCGCGATGCTCTCCCCGGACGCCCCAGAGCGTCACGATTCTCTCCCCGGACGCCCCAGAGCGTCGTGATGCTGTCCCCAGACGCCCCGGAGCATCGCGATGCTCTCCTAGGACGCCCCAGAGCGTCGCGATGCTCTCCCCGGACGCCCCAGAGCGTCGCGATGCTCTCCCCGGACGCCCCAGAGCGTCGCGATGCTCTCCCTGGACGCCCCAGAGCGTCGCGATGCTCTCCCCAAACGCCCCAGAGCGTCGTGATGCTCTCCCAAACCGCCCTAGAGCGTCGTGATGCTCTCCCCGGACGCCCCAGAGCGTCGCGATGCTCTCCCCGGACGCCCCAGAGCGTCGAGATGCTCTCCCCGGACGCCCCAGAGCATCGCTATGCTCTCCCCGGACGCCCCAGAGCGTCGCGATGCTCTCCCCGGACGCCCCAGAGCGTCGCGATGCTCTCCCCGGACGCCCCAGAGCGTCGCGATGCTCTTTCCGGACGCCCCAGAGCGTCGCGATGCTCTTCCCGGACGCCCCAGAGCGTCGCTATGCTCTCCCCTGACGCCCCAGAGCGTCGCGATGCTCTCCCCAGACGCCCCAGAGCGTCGCGATGCTCTCCCCGGACGCCCCAGAGCGCCGCAATGCTCTCACCGGACGCCCCAGAGCGTCGCGATGCTCTCCCCGGACGCCCCAGAGCGTCGCGATGCTCTCCACGGACGCCCTAGAGCGTCGCTATGCTCTCCCCGGACGCCCCAGAGCGTCGCGATGCTCTCCCCGGACGCCCCAGAGCATCGCGATGCTCTCCCCGGACGCCCCAGAGCGTCGCGATGCTCTCCCCGGACGCCCCAGAGCGCCGCGATGCTCTCCCCGGACGCCCCAGAGCGTCGCGATGCTCTCCCTGGACGCCCCAGAGCGTCGCGACGCTCTCCCCAGCCGCCCCTGAGCGTCGTGATGCTCTCCCCGGACGCCCCAGAGCGTCGCGATGCTCTCCCCGGACGCCCCAGAGCGTTGTGATGCTCTTCCCGGACGTCCCAGATGTTATAGTCTGCAGTCCACTTAGGGGTCGCAGATGTTATACCCTAAACCCTAAACTCTGAACGAAAACGTAAGCTCGGCTGAAAAACGTGTATTCTCATTGATGCAAGGAAGAGATGAGTACAACATTGCCTAGGGGACTCATAAGGGGTTGGGTCATCCTGGGAACTCAGAGAAGGTTGAGTCCTAGGGGAGAAAGGCTAGAGAAGGATGGGAAACGTCCTAGCTAGGTCAGCAAAGCCAACCACACTTGGATGTTCAGAGCTGTACTCAAGGCTACCAATAGTGAGTCAAGCCAACATGAGTCAGCTTGTCTTCCCACTTGCACCCTCTTGCAAGCTGCTTCCAGGAAGACCACACTTCTCAAAAGGAGGGTTGTAGAGTCCCACTTGACCACCTGTACTTCTTGTCTCATTCTCTGTCCCTGCACCATTGGCATGACAACAATGAAAGGGTGGCAAGGGAAATGCTGCCAACAGTGCACCATGACTACGGAACAGTGCATTTCGGCAGCTGTCACGCAATGCTCAGATGTTGGATCGTTCTGAAACTTGGTGACCACCTGCACAGCGGGGCAAAGGACTGCCAGACCGAATTTCAGACCAATCCGATCTCGGTAGACGAGTCAGCAGCCGAAATGGTGAACTCGGATGTTACCAAAAAGGAGTAACACACACTTCCGGGATGCCATAAGTCTTGAAACATAAAATGTTTTCATGCCTTGGTAACTGCTTCAAAAACTCTGAAACTTTGAGGGTTTGAAGAACATATGTCGAACAACCTCCCCACAAAATTCCAGAAGCTGAGCAGGCTTGTAGGCCGAATGGGAGTGCGATGACCGTGCCACTGTAATGTGTTGGCACAACACCAGAGCGTCGCGATGCTTTCCCCGGACGCCCCAGAGCGTCGCGACGCTCTTCCCGGACGCCCCAGACCCTCGCTATGCTCTCCCCGGACGCCCCAAAGCGCCGCGATGCTCTCCCCGGACGCCCCAGAGCAACACGATGCTCTCCCCAGACGCCCCAGAGCGTCGCGATGCTCTCCCCGGACGCCCCAGAGCGTCGCGATGCTCTCCCCAGACGCCCCAGAGCGTCGCTATGCTCTTCCCGGACGCCACAGAGCGTCGCGATGCTCTCCCCGGACGCCCCAGAGCATCGCGATGCTCTCCCCAGACGCCCCAGAGCGTCGCGATGCTCTCCCCAGACGCCCCAGAGCGTCGCGATGCTCTCCCCAGACGCCCCAGAGCGTCGTTATGCTCTTCCCGGACGCCACAGAGCGTCGCGATGTTCTCCCCGGACGCCCCAGAGCGTCGCGATGCTCTCCCCGGACACCCTGGAGGGTCGCGATGCTCTCCCCGGACGCCCCAGAGCATCGCGATGCTCTCCCCGGACGCCCCAGAGCGTCTCGATGCTCTCCCCGGACGCCTTAGAGCGTCGCGATGCTCTCCCCGGACGCCCTAGAGCGTCGCGATGCTCTCCCCGAATACCCAAAGAGCGTCGCGATGCTCTCCCCGGACGCCCCTGAGCATCGCGATGCTCTCCCCGGACGCCCCAGAGCGTCGCGATGCTCTCCCCGGATGCCCCAGAGCGTCGCGATGCTCTCCCCGGACGCCCCAGAGCGTCGCAATGCTCTACCCGGATGCCCCAGAGCGTCCCGATGCTCTCCCCAGCCGCCCCAGAACGTCGCGATGCTCTCCCCGGACGCCCCAGAGCGTCGCGATGCTCTCCCCGGACGCCTCAGAGCGTCGCGATGCTCTTTCCGGACGCCCCAGAGCATCACGATGCTCTCCCCGGAGGCCCCAGAGCGTCGCGATGCTCTCCCCGCACGCCCCAGAGCGTCGCGATGCTCTCCTTGGACGCCCCAGAGCATCGCGATGCTCTCCCCGGACGCCCCAGAGCGTCGCTATGCTCTCCCCGGACGCCCCAGAGCATCGCGATGCTCTCCCCGGACGCCCCAGAGCGTCGCGATGCTCTCCCCGGACGCCCCAGAGCGTCCCGGACGCCCCTGAGCGTCGTAATGCTTTCCCCAGCCGCCCCAGAGCGTCGCGATGCTCTCCCCGGACGCCCCAGAGCGTCACGATTCTCTCCCCGGACGCCCCAGAGCGTCGCGATGCTCTCCCCAGACGCCCCGGAGCATCGCGATGCTCTCCCCGCACGCCCCAGAGGATCGCGATGCTCTCCCCGGACGCCCCAGAGCGTCGCGATGCTCTCCCCGGACGCCCCAGAGCGTCGCGATGCTCTCCCCGGACGCCCCAGAGCGTCGCGATGCTCTCCCCGGACGCCCCAGAGCGTCGCGATGCTCTACCCGGACGCCCCAGAGCGTCGCGATGCTCTCCCCGGACGCCCCAGAGCGTCGCGATGCTCTCCCCGGACGCCCCAGAGCGTCGCAATGCTCTCCCCGGACGCCCCAGAGCGCCGCGATGCTCTCCCCGGACGCCCCAGAGCATCGCGATGCTCTCCCCGGACGCCCCAGAGCGTCGCTATGCTCTCCCCGGACGCCCCAGAGCGTCGCGATGCTCTCCCCGGACGCCCCAGAGCGTCGCGATGCTCTCCCCGGACGCCCCAGAGCGTCGCGATGCTCTCCCTGGACGCCCCAAAGCGTCGCAATGCTCTCCCCGGACATCCCAGAGCATCGCGATGCTCTCCCCGGACGCCCCAGAGCGTCACGATGCTCTATCCGTACGCCCCAGAGCGTCGCGACGATCTCCCTAGCCGCCCCAGAGCGTCGTGATGCTCTCCCTGGACGCCCCAGAGCGTCGCGATGCTCTCCCTGGACGCCCCAGAGCGTCGCGATGCTCTCCCTGGACGCACCAGTGCGTCGCTATGCTATCCCCGGACGCCCCAGAGCGTCGCGATGCTCTCCCCGGACGCCCCAAAGCGACGCGATGCTCTCCCCGGACGCCCCAGAGCATCGCGATGCTCTCCCCGGACGCCCCAGAGCGTCGCGATGCTCTCCCCAAACGCCCCAGAGCGTCACGATGCTCTCCACGGACGCCCTAGAGCGTCGCGATGCTCTCCCCGGACGGCCCAGAGCGTCGCGATGCTCTCCCCAGCCGCCCCAGATCGTCGTGATGCTATCCCCGGACGCCCCAGAGCGTCGCGATGCTCTCCCCGGACGCCCTAGAGCGTCGCGATGCTCTCCCCGACGCCCCAGAGCGTCGCGATGCTCTCCCCGGACGCCCCCGAGCGTCGTGATGCTCTCCCCCGACGCCCCAGAGCGTCGTGATGCTTTCCCCAGACGCCCCAGAGCGTCGCGATGCTCTTCCCGGACGCCCCAGAGCGTCGCTATGCTCTCCCCGGACGCCCCAGAGCGTCGCGATGCTCTACCCGGACGCCCCAGAGCGTCGCGATGCTCTCCCCCGACGCCCCAGAGTGTCGCGATGCTCTCCCCGGACGCCCCAGAGCGTCGCGATGCTCTCCCCGGACGCCCCAGAGCGTCGCGATGCTCTCCCTGGACGCCCCAGAGCGTCGCGATGCTCTCCCCGGACGCCCCAGAGCGTCACGATGCTCTCCCCGGACGCCCCAGAGCGTCGCGATGCTCTTCCCGGACGCCCCAGAGCGTCGCGATGCTCTACCCGGACGGCCCAGAGCGTCGCGATGCTCTCCCCGGACGCCCCAGAGCGTCGCGATGCTCTCCCCGGGCGCCCTAGAGCGTCGCGATGCTCTCCTCGGACGCCCCAGAGCGTCGCGATGCTCTCCCCAGCCGCCCCAGAGCGTCGTGATGCTCTCCCCGGACGCCCCAGAGCGTCGCGATGCTCTCCCCCGACGCCCCAGAGCTTCACGATTCTCTCCCCGGACGCCCCAGAGCGTCGCGATGCTCTCCCCGGACACCCCAGAGCGTCGCGATGCTCTCCCCGGACGCCCCAGAGCGTCGCGATGCTCTCCCCGGACGCCCCAGAGCGTCGCTATGCTCTCCCCGGACGCCCCAGAGCGTCGCGATGCTCTCCCCGGACGCCCCAGAGCGTCGCGATGCTCTCCCCGGACGCCCCAGAGCATCGCGATGCTCTCCTCGGACGCCCCAGAGCGTCGCGATGCTCTCCCCGGACGCCCAAGAGCGTCGCGATGCTCTCCCCGGACGCCCCAGAGCGTCGCGATGCTCTCCCCAGCCGCCCGTGAGCGTCGCGATGCTCTCCCCGGACGCCCCAGAGCGTCGCGATGCTCTCCCCGAACGCCACAGAGCGTCGCGATACTCTCCCAAACCGCCCTAGAGCGTCGTGATGCTCTCCCCGGACGCTCTAGAGCGTCGAGATGCTCTCCCCAGACGCCCCTGAGCGTTGTGATGCTCTCCCCGGACGCCCCAGAGCGTCGCGATGCTCTCCCCGGACGCCCCAGAGCGTCGCTATGCTCTCCCCGAACGCCCCAGAGCGTCGCGATGCTCTCCCCGGACGCCCCAGAGCGTCGCGATGCTCTCCCCGAACGCCCCAGAGCGTCGCGATGCTCTACCCGGACGCCCCAGAGCGTCGCGATGCTCTCCCCAGCCGCCCCATAGCGTCGTGATGCTCTCCCCGGACGCCCCAGAGCGTCGCGATGCTCTCCCCCGACGCCCCAGAGCTTCACGATTCTCTCCCCGGACGCCCCAGAGCGTCACGATGCTCTCCCCGGACGCCCCAGAGCGTCGCGATGCTCTCCCCGGACGCCCCAGAGCGTCGCGATGCTCTCCCCGAACGCCACAGAGCGTCGCGATACTCTCCCAAACCGCCCTGAAGCGTCGTGATGCTCTCCCCGGACGCCCCAGAGCGTCGCCATGCTCTCCCCAGACGCCCCAGAGCGTCGCGATGCTCTCCCCGGACGCCCCAGAGCGTCGCGATGCTCTCCCCGGACGCCCCAGAGCGTCGCTATGCTCTCCCCGAACGCCCCAGAGCGTCGCGATGCTCTCCCCGGACGCCCCAGAGCATCGCGATGCTCTCCCCGAACGCCCCAGAGCGTCGCGATGCTCTACCCGGACGCCCCAGAGCGTCGCGATGCTCTCCCCAGCCGCCCTAGAGCGTCGTGATGCTCTCCCCGGACGCCCCAGAGCGTCGCGATGCTCTCCCCCGACGCCCCAGAGCTTCACGATGCTCTCCCCGGACGCCCCAGAGCGTCGCGATGCTCTCCCCGGACGCCCCAGATTATAGCGATGCTCTCACCGGACGCCCCAGAGCGTCGCGATGCTCTCCCCGGACGCCCTAGAGCGTCGCGATGCTCTCCCTGAACGCCCCAGAGCGTCGCGATGCTCTCCCAAACCGCCCTAGAGCGTCGTGATGCTCTCCCCGGACGCCCCAGAGCGTCGCGATGCTCTCCCCGGACGCCCCAGAGCGTCGCGATGCTCTCCCCGGACGCCCCAGAGCGTCGCTATGCTCTCCCCGGACGCCCCAGAGCGTCGCGATGCTCTCCCCGGACGCCCCAGAGCGTCGCGATGCTCTACCCGGACGCCCCAGAGCGTCGCGATGCTCTCCCCAGCCGCCCCAGAGCGTCGTGATGCTCTCCCCGGACGCCCCAGAGCGTCGCGATGCTCTCCCCCGACGCCCCAGAGCTTCACGATGCTCTCCCCGGACGCCCCAGAGCGTCGCGATGCTCTCCCCGGACGCCCCAGAGCATCGCGATGCTCTCCTCGGACGCCCCAGAGCGTCGCGATGCTCTCCCTGGACGCCCCGGAGCGTCGCGATGCTCTCCCTGGACGCCCCAGAGCGTCGCGATGCTCTCCCCTGACGCCCCAGAGCGTCGCGATGCTCTCTCCGGACGCCCCAGAGCGTCGCTATGCTCTCCCCGGACGCCCCTGAGTGTCGCGATGCTCTCCCCGGACGCCCCAGAGCGTCGCGATGCTCTCCCCGGACGCCACAGAGCGTCGCGATGCTCTCCCCGAACGCCACAGAGCGTCGCGATACTCTCCCAAACCGCCCTAGAGCGTCGCGATGCTCTCCCCGGACGCCCCAGAGCGTCGCGATGCTCTCCCCAGACGCCCCAGAGCGTCGCGATGCTCTCCCCGGACGCCCCAGAGCGTCGCGATGCTCTCCCCGGACGCCCCAGAGCGTCGCTATGCTCTCCCTGAACGCCCCAGAGCGTCGCGATGCTCTCCCCGGACGCCCCAGAGCGTCGCGATGCTCTCCCCGAACGCCCCAGAGCGTCGCGATGCTCTACCCGGACGCCCCAGAGCGTCGCGATGCTCTCCCCAGCCGCCCCAGAGCGTCGTGATGCTCTCCCCGGACGCCCCAGAGCGTCGCGATGCTCACCCCCGACGCCCCAGAGCTTCACGATGCTCTCCCCGGACGCCCCAGAGCGTCGCGATGCTCTCCTTGGATGCCCAAGAGCGTCGCGATGCTCTCCCCGGACGCCCCAGAGCGTCGCGATGCTCTCCCTGGACGCCCCAGAGCGTCGAGATGCTCTCCCTGGACGCCCCAGAGCGTCGCGATGCTCTCCCCGGACGCCCCAGAGCGTCGCGATGCTCTCCCCGGACGCCCCAGAGCGTCGCTATGCTGTCCCCGGACGCCCCAGAGTGTCGCGATGCTCTCCCCGGACGCCCCAGATTATCGCGATGCTCTCACCGGACGCCCCAGAGCGTCGCGATGCTCTCCCCGGACGCCCTAGAGCGTCGCGATGCTCTCCCCGAACGCCCCAGAGCGTCGCGATGCTCTCCCAAACCGCCCTAGAGCGTCGTGATGCTCTCCCCGGACGCCCCAGAGCGTCGCGATGCTCTCCCCGGACGCCCCAGAGCATCGCGATGCTCTCCTCGGACGCCCCAGAGCGTCGCGATGCTCTCCCTGGACGCCCCAGAGCGTCGCGATGCTCTCCCTGGACGCCCCAGAGCGTCACGACGCTCTCCCCTGACGCCCCAGAGCGTCGCGATGCTCTCCCCGGACGCCCCAGAGCGTCGCTATGCTCTCCCCGGACGCCCCTGAGCGTCGCGATGCTCTCCCCGGACGCCCCAGAGCGTCGCGATGCTCTCCCCGGACGCCACAGAGCGTCGCGATGCTCTCCCCGAACGCCACAGAGCGTCGCGATACTCTCCCAAACCGCCCTAGAGCGTCGTGATGCTCTCCCCGGACGCCCCAGAGCGTCGCGATGCTCTCCCCAGACGCCCCAGAGCGTCGCGATGCTCTTCCCGGACGCCCCAGAGCGTCGCGATGCTCTCCCCGGACGCCCCAGAGCGTCGCGATGCTCTCCCCGGACGCCCCAGAGCGTCGCTATGCTCTCCCCGGACGCCCCAGAGCGTCGCGATGCTCTCCCCGGACTCCCCAGAGCATCGCGATGCTCTCCCCGGACGCCCCAGAGCGTCGCGATGCTCTCCCCGGACGCCCCAGAGCGTCGAGATGCTCTCACCGGACGCCCCAGAACGTCGCAAGGCTCTCCCCGGACGCCCCAGAGCATCGCGATGCTCTTTCCGGACGCCCCAGAGCGTCGCGATGCTCTTCCCGGACGACCCAGAATTTCGCTATGCTCTCCCCTGACGCCCCAGAGCGTCGCGATGCTCTCCCCGGACGTCCCAGAGCGTCGCGATGCTCTCCCCGGACGCCCCAAAGCGCCGCGATGCTCTCACCGGACGCCCCAGAGCGTCGCGATGCTCTCCCCGGACGCCCCAGAGCGTCGCGATGCTCTCCCCGGACGCCCCAGAGCGTCGCTATGCTCTCCCCAGACGCCCCAGAGCGTCGCGATGCTCTCCCCGAACGCCCCATAGCATCGCGATGCTCTCCCCGGACGCCCCAAAGCGTCGCGATGCTCTCCCCGGACGCCCCAGAGCGCCGCAATGCTCTCCCCGGACGCCCCAGAGCGTCGCGATGCTCTCCCCGGATGCCCCAGAGCGTCGCGACGCTCTCCCCAGCCGCCCCAGAGCGTCGTGATGCTCTCCCCGGACGCCCCAGAGCGTCGCGATGCTCTCCACGGACGCCCCAGAGCATCGCGATGCTCTCCCCGGACGCCCCAAAGCGTCGCGATGCTCTCCCCGGACGCCCCAGAGCGCCGCAATGCTCTCCCCGGACGCCCCTGAGCGTCGCAATGCTCTCCCCGGACGCCCCAGAGCGTCTTGATGCTCTCCCCGGACGCCCCAGAGCGTCGCGATACTCTCCCCGGACGCCCCAGAGTGTCGCGATGCTCTTTCCGGACGCCCCAGAGCGTCGCGATGCTTTCCCCGGACGCCCCAGAGCGTCGCGACGCTCTCCCCGAACGCCCCAGAGCGTCGCTATGCTCTCCCCGGACGCCCCAGAGCGCCGCGATGCTCTCCCCGGATGCCCCAGAGCAACGCGATGCTCTCCTCGGACGCCCTAGAGCGTCGCGATGCTCTCCCTGGACGCCCCAGAGCGTCGCGATGCTCTCCCTGGACGCCCCAGAGCGTCGCGATGCTCTCCCCAGACGCCCCAGAGCGTCGCTATGCTCTTCCCGGACGCCCCAGAGCGTCGCGATGCTCTCCCCAGACGCCCCAGAGCGTCGCGATGCTCTCCGCGGACGCCCCAGAGGGTCGCGATGCTCTCCCCGGACGCCCCAGAGCATCGCGATCCTCTCCCCGGACGCCCCAGAGCGTCTCGATGCTCTCCCCGGACGCCCCAAAGCGTCGCGATGCTCTCCCTGGACGCCCTAGAGCGTAGCGATGCTCTCCCCGGATGCCCCAGAGCGTCGCTATGCTCTCCCCGGACGCCCTAGTGCATCGCGATGCTCTCCCCGGACGCCCCAGAGCGTTGCGATGCTCTATCCGTACGCCCCAGAGCGTCGCGACGATCTCCCTAGCCGCCCCAGAGCGTCGTGATGCTCTTCCTGGACGCCCCAGAGCGTCGCGATGCTCTCCCCGGACGCCCCAGAGCGTCGCGATGCTCTCCCCGGACGCACCAGAGCGTCGCTATGCTCTCCCCGGACGCCCCAGAGCGTCGCGATGCTCTCCCCGGACGCCCCAGAGCGACGCGATGCTCTCCCCGGACGACCCAGAGCATCGCGATGCTCTCCCCGGACGCCCCAGAGCGTCGCGATGCTCTCCCCGAACGCCCCAGAGCGTCACGATGCTCTCCCCGGACGCCCTAGAGCGTCGCGATGCTCTCCCGGGACGCCCAAGAGCGTCGCGATGCTCTCCCCACCGGCCCCAGAGCGTCGTGATGCTATCCCTCGACGCCCCAGAGCGTCGCGATGCTCTCCCCGGACGCCCCAGAGCGTCGCGATGCTCTCCCCGGACGCCCCCGAGCGTCGCGATGCTTTCCCCGGACGCCCCAGAGCCTCGCTATGCTCTCCCCGGACGCCCCAGAGCGTCGCGATGCTCTACCCGGACGCCCCAGAGCGTCGCGATGCTCTCCCCCGACGCCCCAGAGCGTCGCGATGCTCTCCCCGGACGCCCCAGAGCGTCGCGATGCTCTCCCCGGACGCCCCAGAGCGTCGCGATGCTCTCCCCCGACGCCCCAGAGCGTCGCGATGCTCTCCCCGGACGCCCCAGAGCGTCACGATGCTCTCCCCCGATGCCCCAGAGCGTCGCGATGCTCTTCCCGGACGCCCCAGAGCGTCGCGATGCTCTACTCGGACGGCCCAGAGCGTCGCGATGCTCTCCCTGGACGCCCCAGAGCGTCGCGATGCTCTCCCCGGACGCCTCAGAGCGTCGCGATGCTCTCCCCGGACGCCCCAGAGCGTCGCGATGCTCTCCCCAGCCGCCCCAGAGCATCGTGATGCTCTCCCCGGACGCCCCAGAGCGTCGCGATGCTCTCCCCCGACGCCCCAAAGCTTCACGATGCTCTCCCCGGACGCCCCAGAGCGTCGCGATTCTCTCCCCAGATGCCCCTGAGCGTCGCGATGCTCTCCCCGGACGCCCCAGAGCGTCGCAATGCTCTCCCCGGACGCCCCAGAGCGTCGCTATGCTCTCCCCGGACGCCCCAGAGCGACGCGATGCTCTCCTCGGACGCCCCAGAGCGTCGCGATGCTCTCCCCGGACGCCCCAGAGCGTCGCGATGCTCTACCCGGATGCCCCAGAGCGTCGCGATGCTCTCCCCAGCCGCCCCAGAGCGTCGTGATGCTCTCCCCGGACGCCCAAGAGCGTCGCGATGCTCTCCCCCGACGCCCCAGAGCTTCACGATGCTCTCCCCGGACGCCCCAGAGCGTCGCGATGCTCTCCCCGGACGCCCCAGAGCGTCGCGATGCTCACCCCGGACGCCCCAGAGCGTCGCGATGCTTTCCCCGGACGCCCGAGAGCGTCGCTATGCTCTTCCCGGACGCCCCAGAGCGTCGCGATGCTCTCCGCGGACGCCCCAAAGCGTCGCGATGCTCTCCCCGGACGCCCCAAAGCGTCGCTATGGTCTCCCCGGACGCCCCAGAGCGTCGCTATGCTCTCCCCGGACGCCCCAGAGCATCGCGATGCTCTCCCCGGACGCCCCAGAGCGTCGCGATGCTCTCCCCGAATGCCCCAGAGCGTCACGATTCTCTCCCCGGACGCCCCAGAGCGTCGCGATGCTCTCCCAAGACGCCTCGGAGCATCGCGATGCTCTCCCCGCACGCCCCAGAGGATCGCGATGCTCTCCCCGGACGCCCCAGAGCGTCGCGATGCTCTCCCCGGACGCCCCAGAGCGTCGCGATGCTCTCCCCGGACGCCCCAGAGCGTCGCGATGCTCTCCCCGGACGCCCCAGAGCGTCGCGATGCTCTCCCCGGACGCCCCAGAGCGCCGCGATGCTCTCCCCGGACGCCCCAGAGCATCGCGATGCTCTCCCCGGCCGGCCCAGAGCGTCGCTATGCTCTCCCTGGACGCCCCAGAGCGTCACGATTCTCTCCCCGGACGCCCCAGAGCGTCGCGATGCTCTCCCAAGACGCCGAGGAGCATCGCGATGCTCTCCCCTCACGCCCCCGAGGATCGTGATGCTCTCCCCGGACGCCCCAGAGCGTCGCGATGCTCTCCCCGGACGCCCCAGAGCGTCGCTATGCTCTCCCCGGACGCCCCAGAGCGTCGCGATGCTCTCCCCGGACGCCCCAGAGCGTCGCGATGCTCTACCCGGACGCCCCAGAGCGTCACGATGCTCTCCCCGGACGCCCCAGAGCGTCGCGATGCTCTCCCCGGACGCCCCAAAGCGTCGTGATGCTCTCCTCGGACGCCCCAGAGCGCCGCGATGCTCTCCCCGGACGCCACAGAGCGTCGCGATGCTCTCCCCGGACGCCCCAGAGCGTCGCGATGCTTTTCCCGGACGCCCCAGAGCGTCGCGATGCTCTCCCCGAACGCCCCAGAGCATCGCGATGCTCTCCCCGGACGCCCCAAAGCGTCGCAATGCTCTCCCCGGACGCTCCAGAGCATCGCGATACTCTCCCCGGACGCCCCAGAGCGTCGCGATGCTCTATCCGTACGCCCCAGAGCGTCGCGACGATTTCCTTAGCCGCCCCAGAGCGTCGTGATGCTCTCCCTGGACGCCCCAGAGCGTCGCGATGCTCTCCCCGGACGCCCCAGAGCGACGCGATGCTCTCCCCGGACGACCCAGAGCATCGCGATGCTCTCCCCGGACGCCCCAGAGCGTCGCGATGCTCTCCCCGAACGCCCCAGAGCGTCACGATGCTCTCCCCGGACGCCCTAGAGCGTCGCGATGCTCTCCCTGGACGCCCCAGAGCGTCGCGATGCTCTCCCCACCCGCCCCAGAGCGTCGTGATGCTATCCCCGGACGCCCCAGAGCGTCGCGATGCTCTTCCCGGACGCCCCAGAGCGTCGCGATGCTCTCCCCCGACGCCCCAGAGCGTCGCGATGCTCTCCCCGGACGCCCCCGAGCTTCGCGATGCTTTCCCCGGACGCCCCAGAGCATCGCGATGCTCTTCCCGGACGCCCCAGAGCCTCGCTATGCTCTCCCCGGACGCCCCAGAGCATCGCGATGCTTTGCCCGGACGCCCCAGAGCGTCGCGATGCTCTCCCCGGACGCCCCAGAGCGTCGCGATGCTTTTCCCGGACGCCCCAGAGCGTCGCGATGCTCTCCCCGAACGCCCCAGAGCATCGCGATGCTCTCCCCGGACGCCCCAAAGCGTCGCAATGCTCTCCCCGGACGCTCCAGAGCATCGCGATACTCTCCTCGGACGCCCCAGAGCGTCGCGATGCTCTATCCGTACGCCCCAGAGCGTCGCGACGATTTCCTTAGCCGCCCCAGAGCGTCGTGATGCTCTCCCTGGACGCCCCAGAGCGTCGCGATGCTCTCCCCGGACGCCCCAGAGCGACGCGATGCTCTCCCCGGACGACCCAGAGCATCGCGATGCTCTCCCCGGACGCCCCAGAGCGTCGCGATGCTCTCCCCGAACGCCCCAGAGCGTCACGATGCTCTCCCCGGACGCCCTAGAGCGTCGCGATGCTCTCCCTGGACGCCCCAGAGCGTCGCGATGCTCTCCCCACCCGCCCCAGAGCGTCGTGATGCTATCCCCGGACGCCCCAGAGCGTCGCGATGCTCTTCCCGGACGCCCCAGAGCATCGCGATGCTCTCCCCCGACGCCCCAGAGCGTCGCGATGCTCTCCCCGGACGCCCCCGAGCGTCGCGATGCTTTCCCCGGACGCCCCAGAGCATCGCGATGCTCTTCCCGGACGCCCCAGAGCCTCGCTATGCTCTCCCCGGACGCCCCAAAGCATCGCGATGCTCTACCCGGACGCCCCAGAGCGTCGCGATGCTCTCCCCGGACGCCCCAGAGCGTCGCGATGCTCTCCCCGGACGCCCCAGAGCGTCGCTATGGTCTCCCCGGACGCCCCAGAACATCGCGATGCTCTCCCCGGACGCCCAAGAGCATCGCGATGCTCTCCGCGGACGCCCCAGAGCGTCGCGATGCTCTCCCCGGACGCCCCAGAGCATAGCGATGCTCTCCCCAAACGCCCCAGAGCGTCGCGATGCTCTCACCGGACGCCCCAAAGCGTCGCGATGCTCTACCCGGACGCCCCAGAGCGTCGCGATGCTCTCCCTGTACGCCCCAGAGCGTCGCGATGTTCTCCCCGGACGCCCCAGAGCGTCGCGATGCTCTCCCCGGACGCCCCAAAGCGTCGCGATGCTCTTCCCGTACGCCCCAGAGCACCGCGATGCTCTCCCCGGACGCCCCAGAGCGTCGCGATGCTCTCCCCGGACGCCCCAGAGCGTCGCTATGCTCTCCCCGGACGCCCCAGAGCGTCGCGATGCTCTACCCGGACGCCCTAGAGCGTCGCGATTCTCTCCCCGGACGCCCCAGAGCGTCGCGATGCTCTACCCGGACGCCCCAGAGCGTCGCGATGCTCTCCCCGGACGCCCCATAGCGTCGCGATGCTCTCCCCGGACGCCCCAGAGCGTCGCGATGCTCTCCCCGGACGCCCCAGAGCGTCGCTATGCTCTCCCCGGACGCCCCAGAGCGTCGCGATGCTCTCCCCGGACGCCCCAGAGCGTCCCGATGCTCTCCCCGGACGCCCCAGAGCGTCGCGATGCTCTACTCGGACGCCCCAGAGCATCGCGATGCTCTCCCCAGACGCCCAAGAGCGTCGCGATGCTCTCCCCGGACGCCCCAGAGCGTTGCGATGCTCTCCCTGGACGCCCCAGAGCGTCGCGATGCTCTCCTCGGACGCCCCAGAACGTCGCGATGCTCTCCCCGGACGCCCCAGAGCGTCGCGATGCTCTCCCCGGACGCCCCAGAGCGTCGCTATGCTCTCCCCGGACGCCCCAGAGCGTCGCGATGCTCTCCCCGGACGCCCCAGAGCATCGCGATGCTCTGACCGGACGCCCCTGAGCGTCGCGATGCTCTCCCCGGACGCCCCAGAGCGTCGCGATGCTCTCCCTGGACGCCCAAGAGCGTCGCGATGCTCTCCCCGAACGCCCCACAGCGTCGCGATGCTCTCCCAAGCCGCCCTAGAGCGTCGTGATGCTCTACCCGGACGCCCCAGAGCGTCGCGATGCTCTCCCCGGACGCCCCAGAGCGTCGCGATGCTCTCCCCGGACGCCCCAGAGCGTCGCTATGCTCTCCCCGGACGCCCCAGAGCGGCGCGATGCTCTCCCCGGACGCCCCAGAGCATCGCGATGCTCTCCGCGGACGCCCCAGAGCGTCGCGATGCTCTCCCCGGACGCCCCTGAGCGTCACGATGCTCTCCCCGGACGCCCGAGTGCGTCGCAATGCTCTCACCGGACGCCCCAGAACGTCGCAATGCTCTCCCCGGACGCCCCAGAGCATCGCGATGCTCTTTCCGGACGCCCCAGAGCGTCGCGATGCTCTTCCCGGACGCCCCAGAGCGTCGCTATGCTCTCCCCGGACGCCGAAGAGCGTCGCGATGCTCTCCCCGGACGCCCCAGAGCGACGCGATGCTCTCCCCGGACGCCCCAGAGCGCCGCGATGCTCTCACCGGACGCCCCAGAGCGTCGCGATGCTCTCCCCGGACGCCCCAGAGCGTCGCGATGCTCTCCCCGGACGCCCTAGAGCGTCGCTATGCTCTCCCCGGACGCCCCAGAGCGTCGCAATGCTCTCCCCGGACGCCCTTGAGCATCGCGATGCTCTCCCCGGACGCCCCAGAGGGTCGCGATGCTCTCCGCGGACGCCCCAGAGCGCCGCGATGCTCTACCCGGACGCCCCAGAGCGTCGCGATGCTCTCCCCAACCGCCCCAGAGCGTCGCGATGCTCTCCCCGGATGCCCCAGAGCGTCGCGATGCTCTCCCCGAACGCCCCAGAGCGTCGCGATGCTCTCCCCGGACGCCCCAGAGCGTCGCGATGCTCTACCCGGACGCCCCAGAGCGTCGCGATGCTCTCCCCGGACGCCCCAGAGCGTCGCGATGTTCTTCCCAGAAGCTCCAGAGCGTCGCGATGCTCTCCCCGGACGCCCCAAAGCGTCGCGATGCTCTCCCCGGACGCCCCAGAGCGCCGCGATGCTCTCCCCGGACGCCCCAGAGCGTCGCCATGCTCTCCCCGGACGCCCCAGAGCGTCGCGATGCTCTCCCCGGACGCCCCAGAGCGCGATGCTCTCCCCGAACGCCCCAGAGCGTCGCAATGCTCTACCCGGATGCCCCAGAGCGTCCCGATGCTCTCCCCAGCCGCCCCAGAGCGTCGCGATGCTCTCCCCGGACGCCCCAGAGCGACGTGATGCTCTCCCCGGACGCCCCAGAGCGCCGCGATGCTCTCACCGGACGCCCCAGAGCGTCGCGATGCTCTCCCCGGACGCCCCAGAGCGTCGCGATGCTCTCCCCGGACGCCCTAGAGCGTCGCTATGCTCTCCCCGGACGCCCCAGAGCGTCGCGATGCTCTCCCCGGACGCCCTTGAGCATCGCGATGCTCTCCCCGGACGCCCCAGAGCGTCGCGATGCTCTCCCCGGACGCCCCAGAGCGCCGCGATGCTCTCCCCGGACGCCCCCGAGCGTCGCGATGCTCTCCCCGGACGCCCCAGAGCGTCGCGATGCTCTCCCCGGACGCCCCAGAGCGTCGCGATGCTCTCCCCGGACGCCCCAGAGCGTCGCGATGCTCTCCCCCGACGCCCCAGAGCGTCGTGATGTTCTCCCCGGACGCCCCAGAGCGTCACGATGCTCTCCCCGGACGCCCTAGAGCGTCTTGATGCTCTTCCCGGACGCCCCAGAGCGTCGCGATGCTCTACCCGGACGGCCCAGAGCGTCGCGATGCTCTCCCCGGACGCCCCAGAGCGTCGCGATGCTCTCCCCGGACGCCCCAGAGCGTCGCGATGCTCTCCCCGGACGCCCCAGAGCGTCGCGATGCTCTACCCGGACGCCCCAGAGCGTCTCGATGCTCTCCCCGGACGCCCCAGAGCGCCGCGATGCTCTCCCCAGACGCCCCAGAGCGACGCGATGCTCTCCCCGGACGCCCCAGAGCGTCGCTATGATCTCCCCGGACGCCCCAGAGCGTCGCGATGCTCTCCCCGGACGCCCCAGAGCATCGCGATGCTCTTCCCGGACGCCCCAAAGCGTCGCAATGCTCTCCCCGGACGCCCCAGAGCATCGCGATGCTCTCCCCGGACGCCCCAGAGCGTCGCGATGCTCTATCCGTACGCCCCAGAGCATCGCGATGCTCTCCCTAGCCGCCCCAGAGCGTCGTGATGCTCTCCCTAGACGCCCCAGAGCGTCGCGATGCTCTCCCCGGACGCCCTAGAGCGTCGCTATGCTCTCCCCGGACGCCCCAGAGCGTCGCGATGCTCTCCCCGGACGCCCAAGAGCATCGCGATGCTCTCCCCGGACGCCTCAGAGCGTCGCGATGCTCTCCCCGGACGCCCAAGAGCGTCGCTATGCTCTCCCCAAACGCCCCAGAACGTCGCGATGCTCTCCTTGAACGCCCCAAAGCGTCGCGATGCTCTCCCCAGACGCCCCAGAGCGTCGCGACGCTCTCCCCGGACGCCCCAGAGCGTCGCGATGCTCTACCCGGACGCCCCAGAGCGTCGCGATGCTCTCCCCGGACGCCCCAGAGCGTCGCGATGCTCTACCCGGACGCTCCAGAGCTTCTCGATGCTCTCCCCAGCCGCCCCAGAGCGTCGCGATGCTCTCCCCGGACGCCCCAGAGCGTCGCGATGCTCTCCCCCGACGCCCCAGAGCTTCACGATGCTCTCTCCGGACGCCCCAGAGTGTCGCGATGCTCTCCTTGGACGCCCCAGAGCGTCGCGATGCTCTCCCCGGACGCCCCAGAGCGTCGCGATGCTCTTCCCGGACGCCCCAGAGCGTCGCTATGCTCTCCCCGGACGCCCCAGAGCGTCGCGATGCTCTCCCCGGACGCCCCAGAGCGTCGCGATGCTCTCCCCGGACGCCCCAGAGCGTCGCGATGCTCTCCCCGGACGCCCCAGAGCGTCGCTATGCCCTCCCCGGACGCCCCAGAGCGTCGCGATGCTCTCCCTGGACGCCCCAGAGCGTCGCGATGCTCTCCCCGGACGCCCCAGAGCGTCGCGATGCTCTCCCCGGACGCCCCAGAGCGTCGCTATGGTCTCCCCGGACGCCCCAGAGCGTCGCGATGCTCTCCCCGGACGCCCAAGAGCATCGCGATGCTCTCCCCGGACGCCCCAGAGCGTCGCGATGCTCTCCCCGGACGCCCAAGAGCATCGCGATGCTCTCCCCAAACGCCCCAGAGCGTCGCGATGCTCTCCCCGAACGCCCCAAAGCGTCGCGATGCTCTCCCCAGACGCCCCAGAGCGTCGCGATGCTCTCCCCGGACGCCCCAGAGCGTCGCGATGCTCTACCCGGACGCCCCAGAGCGTCGCGATGCTCTCCCCCGACGCCCCAGAGCGTCGCGATGTTCTCCCCGGACGCCCCAGAGCGTCGCAATGCTCTCCCCGGACGCCCCAGAGCGTCGCGATGCTCTCCCCGTACGCCCCAGAGCGTCGCGATGCTCTCCCCGGACGCCCCGGAGCGTCGCGATGCTTTCCCCGAACGCCCCAGAGCGTCGCGATGCTCTCCCCGGACGCCCCGGAGCGTCGCGATGCTCTCCCCGGACGCCCCAGAGCGCCGCGATGCTCTCCCCGGACGCCCCAGAGCGCCGCGATGCTCTCCCCGGACGCCCCAGAGCGTCGCGATGCTCTCCCTGGACGCCCCAAAGCGTCGCGATGCTCTGCCCAGACGCCCCAAAGCGACGCGATGCTCTCCCCGGACGCCCTAGAGCGTCGCGATGCTCTACCCGGACGCCTCAGAGCGTCGCGATGCTCTCCCCGGACGCCCCAGAGCGTCGCGATGTTCTCCCCGGACGCCCCAGAGCTTCGCAATGCTCTCCCCGGACGCCCCAGAGCGTCGCGATGCTCTCCCCGGACGCCCCAGAGCGTCGCGATGCTCTCCGTGGACGCCCCGGAGCGTCGCGATGCTCTCCCCGGACGCCCCAGAGCGCCGCGATGCTCTCCCCGGACGCCCCAGAGCGCCGCGATGCTTTCCCCGGACGCCCCAGAGCGTCTCGATGCTCTCCCTGGACGCCCCAGAGCGTCGCGATGCTCTCCCCGGATGCCTCAGAGCGCCGCTATGCTCTCCCCGGACGCCCCAGAGCGTCGCGATGCTCTCCCCGGACGCCCCAGAGCGTCGCGATGCTCTCCTTGGACGCTCCAGAGCGTCGCGATGCTCTCCCCGGACGCCCGAGAGCGTCGCGATGCTCTTTCCGGACGCCCCGGAGCGTCGCGATGCTCTACCCGGACGCCCCAGAGCGTCGCGATGCTCTCCCCAGCCGCCCCAGAGCGTCGCGATGCTCTCCCCGGACGCCCCAGAGCGTCGCGATGCTCTCCCCGGACGCCCCAGAGCGTCGCGATGCTCTCCCCGGACGCCCCAGAGCGTCGCTATGGTCTCCCCGGACGCCCCAGAGCGTCGCGATGCTCTCCCCGGACGCCCCAGAGCATCGCGATGCTCTCCCCGGACGCCCCAGAGCGTCGCGATGCTCTCATCGGATGCCCCAGAGCGTCGCGATGCTCTACCCGGACGCCCCAGAGGGTCGTAATGCTCTCCCCGGACGCCCAAGAGCGTCGCGATGCTCTCCCCCGACGCCCCAGAGCTTCACGATGCTCTCCCTGGACGCCCCAGAGCGTCGTGATGCTCTCCCCGGACGCCCCAGAGCGTCGCGATGCTCTCCCCCGACGCCCCAGAGCTTCACGATGCTCTCCCCGGACGCCCCAGAGCGTCGCGATGCTCTCCCCAGCCGCCCCAGAGCGTCGTAATGCTCTCACCGGACGCCCCAGAGCATCGTCATGCTCTCCCCCGACGCCCCAGAGCTTCACGATGCTCTCCCCGGACGCCCCAGAGCGTCGCGATCCTCTCCCCAGCCGCCCCAGAGCGTCGTAATGCTCTCCCCGGACGCCCCAGAGCATCGTGATGCTCTCCCCCGACGCCCCAGAGCTTCACGATGCTCTCCCCGGACGCCCCAGAGCGTCGCGATGCTCTCCCCGGACGCCCCGGAGCGTCGTGATGCTCTCCCCGGACGCCCCAGAGCGTCGCTATGCTCTCCCCGGACGCCCGAGAGCGTCGCGATGCTCTCCCTAGACGCCCCAGAGCGTCGCGATGCTCTCCGCGGACGCCCCAGAGCGTCGCTATGGTCTCCCCGGACGCCCAAGAGCGTCGCGATGCTCTCCCCGGACGCCCCAGAGCATCGCGATGCTCTCCTCGGACGCCCCAGAGCGTCGCGATGCTCTCCCCGGACGCCCCAGAGCGTCGCGATGCTCCCCCCGGACGCCCCAGAGCGTCGCGATGCTCTCCCCGGACGCCCCACAGCGTCGCGATGCTCTACCTGGACGCCCCAGAGCGTCGCGATGCTCTCCCCCGACGCCCCAGAGCTTCACGATGCTCTCCCCGGACGCCCCAGAGCGTCGCGATGCTCTCCCCGGACGCCCCAGAGCGTCGCGATGCTCTCCCCGGACGCCCCAGAGCGTCGCGATGCTCTCCCTAGACGCCCCAGAGCGTCGCTATGCTCTCCCCGGACGCCCCAGAGCGTCTCGATGCTCTCCCCGGACGCCCCAGAGCGTCGCGATGCTCTCCCGGGAAGCCCCAGAGCGTCGCGATGCTTTCCCCGGACGCCCCAGAGCGTCGCGATGCTCTCCCCGGACGCCCCAGAGCATCGCGATGCTCTCCCCCGACGCCTTAGAGCTTCACGATGCTCTCCCCGGACGCCCCGGAGCGTCGCGATGCTCTCCCCGGACGCCCTAGAGCGTCGCGATGCTCTCCCCGGACGCCCCAGAGCGTCGCGATGCTCTCCCCGAACGCCCCAGAGCGTCGCTATGCTCTCCCCGGACGCCCCAGAGCGTCGCGATGCTCTCCCCGGACGCCCCAGAGCGTCGCGATGCTCTCCCTGGACGCCCCAGAGCGTCGCTATGGTCTCCCCGGACGCCCCTGAGCGTCGCGATGCTCTCCCTGGACGCCCTAGAGCATCGCGACGCTCTCCCCGGACGCCCCAGAGCGTCGTGATGCTCTCCCCGGACGCCCCAGAGCGTCGCGATGCTCCCCCCGGACGCCCCAGAGCGTCGCGATGCTCTCCCCGGACGCCCCAGAGCGTCGCGATGCTCTACCTAGACGCCCCAGAGCGTCGCGATGCTCTCTCCGGACGCTCCAGAGCGTCGCGATGCTCTCCCCGGACGCCCTAGAGCGTCGCGATGCTCTCCCCGGACGCCCCAGAGCGTCGCGATGCTCTCCCCGGACGCCCCAAGGCGCCGCGATGCTCTCCCCGGACGCCCCAGAGCGTCGCGATGCTCTCCCCGGACGCCCCAGAGCGTCGCGATGCTCTCCCCGGACGCCCCAGAGCGTCGCGATGCTCTCCCCGGACGCCCCAGAGCGTTGCGATGGTCTCCCCGGACGCCCCAGAGCGTCACGATGCTCTCCCCGGACGCCCTGGAGCATCGCGATGCTCTCCCCGGACGCCCTAGAGCGTAACGATGCTCTCCCCGGACGCCCCAGAGCGTCGCGATGCTCCCCCCGGACGCCCCAGAGCGTCGCGATGCTCTCCCCGGACGCCCCAGAGCGTCGCGATGCTCTACCTGGACGCCCTAGAGCGTCGCGATGCTCTCCCCGGACGCTCCGGAGCGTCGCGATGCTCTCCCCGGACGCCCCAGAGCATCGCGATGCTCTCCCCGGACGCCCCAAAGCGACGCGATGCTCTCCCCGGACGCCCCAGAGCGCCGCGATGCTCTCCCCGGACGCCCCAGGGCGTCGCGATGCTCTCCCCGGACGCCCCAGAGCGTCGCGATGCTCTCTCCGGACGCCCCAGAGCATCGCGATGCTCTCGCCGGACGCCTTAGAGCGTCGCAATGCTCTCCCCGAACGCCCCAGAGCGTCGCGATGCTCTCCCCGGACGGCCAGAGCGTCGCGATGCTCTACCCGTACGCCCCAGAGCGTCGCGATGCTCTCCCCAGCCGCCCCAGAGCGTCGTGATGCTCTCCCCGGACGCCCCAGAGCGTCGCGATGCTCTCCCTGGACGCCCCAGAGCGTCGCGATGCTCTCCCCGGACGCCCCACAGCGTCGCGATGCTCTCCACGGACGCCCCAGAGCGTCGCGATGCTCTCCCCGGACGCCCCAGAGCATCACGATGCTCTCTCTGGACGCCCCAGAGCGTCGCGATGCTCTCCTCGGACGCCCCAGAGCATCGCGATGCTCTCCCGTGATGCCCCAGAGCGTCGCGATGCTCTCCCCGGACGCCCCAGAGCGTCGCGATGCTCTCCGCGGACGCCCCAAAGCGTTGTGATGCGCTCCCCAGACGCCCCAGAGCGTCGCGATGCTCTACCCGGACGCCCCAGAGCGTCGCGATGCTCTCCCCAACCGCCCCAGAGCGTCGCGATGCTCTCCCCGGATGCCCCAGAGCGTCGCGATGCTCTCCCCGAACGCCCCAGAGCGTCGCGATGCTCTCCCCGGACGCCCCAGAGCGTCGCGATGCTCTACCCGGACGCCCCAGAGCGTCGCGATGCTCTCCCCGGACGCCCCAGAGCGTCGCGATGCTCTCCCCGGACGCCCCAAAGCGTCGCGCTGCTCTCCCCGGACGCCACAGAGCGTCACGATGCTCTCCCCGGACGCCCCAGAGCGCCGCGATGCTCTCCCCGGACGCCCCAGAGCGTCGCGATGCTCTCCCCGGACGCCCCAGAGCGTCGCTATGCTCTCCCCGGACGCACCAGAGCGTCGCGATGCTCTCCCCGGACGCCCCAGAGCGCCGCGATGCTCTCCCCGGACGCCCCTGAGCGCCGCGATGCTCTCCCCGGACGCCCCAGAGCGTCGCGATGCTCGCCTCGGACGCCCCAGAGCGTCGCGATGCTCTCCCCGGACGCCCCAGAGCGCCGCGATGCTCTCCCCGGACGCCCCAGAGCGTCGCGATGCTCTCGTCGGACGCTCCAGAGCGTCGCGATGCTCTCCCCGAACGCCCCAGAGCGTCGCGATGCTCTTTCCGGACGCCCCAGAGCGTCGCGATGCTCTACCCGGACGCCCCAGAGCGACGCGATGCTCTCCCCAGCCGCCCCAGAGCGTCGCGATGCTCTCCCCGGACGCCCCAGAGTGTCGCGATGCTCTCCCCGGACGCCCCAGAGCGTCGCGATGCTCTCCCCCGACGCCCCAGAGCGTCGCGATGCTCTCCCCCGACGCCCCAGAGCGTCACGATGCTCTCCCTGGTTGCCCTAGAGCGTCGCGATGCTCTTCCCGGACGCCCCAGAGCGTCGCTATGCTCTCCCCGGACGCCCCAGAGCATCGCGATGCTCTACCCGGACGGCCCAGAGCGTCGCGATGCTCTCCCCGGACGCCCCAGAGCGTCGCGATGCTCTCCCCGGACGCCCTAGAGCGTCGCGATGCTCTCATCGGACGCCCTTGAGCGTCGCGATGCTCTACCCGGACGCCCCAGAGCGTGCTCTCCCCAGCCGCCCCAGAGCGTCGTAATGCTCTCCCCGGACGCCCCAGAGCGTCGCGATGCTCTCCCCCGACGCCCCAGAGCTTCACGATGCTCTCCCCGGACGCCCCAGAGCGTCGCGATGCTCTCCCCGGACGCCCCAGAGCAGCGCGATGCTCTCCCCGGACGCCCCAGAGCGTTGCGATGCTCTCCCCGGACGCCCCAGAGCGTCACTATGCTCTCCCCGGACGCCCCAGAGCGTCGCTATGCTCTCCCCGGACGCCCCAGAGCGTCGCGATGCTCTCCTTGGACGCCCTAGAGCGTCGCGATGCTCTCCCCGGACGCCCCAGAGCGTCGCTATGGTCTCCCCGGACGCCCCAGAGCGTCGCGATGCTCTCCCCGGACGCCCTAGAGCGTCGAGATGCTCACCCCGGACGCCCCGGAGCATCGCTATGCTCTCCCCGGACGCCCCAGAGCGTCGCGATGCTCTCCCTGGACGCCCCAGAGCATCGCGATGCTCTCCCCGGACGCCCCAGAGCGTAGCTATGGTCTCCCCGGACGCCCCAGAGCGTCGCGATGCTCTCCTCGGACGCCCCAGAGCATCGCGATGCTCTCCCCGGACGCCTTAGAGCATCGCGATGCTCTCCCCGGACGCCCCAGAGCGTCGCGATGCTCTCCCCGGACGCCCCAGAGCATCGTGATGCTCTCCCCAGCCGCCCTGGAGCATCGCGATGCTCTCCCCGGACGCCCCAAAGCGTCGCGATGCTCTCCCCGGACGCCCCAGAGCATCGCGATGCTCTCCCCGGACGCCCCAGAGCGTCGCGATGCTCTCCCCGGACGGCCCAGAGCGTCGCGATGCTCTCTCCGAACGCCCCAGAGTCGCGATGCTCTCCCCGGACGCCCCAGAGCATCGCGATGCTCTCCCCGGACGCCCCAGAGTCGCGATGCTCTCCCCGGACGCCCCAGAGCATCGCGATGCTCTCCCGGACGCCCTTGAGCGTCGCGATGCTCTCCCCGGACGCCCCAGAGCATCGTGATGCTCTCCCCAGCCGCCCCGGAGCATCGCGATGCTCTCCCCAGCCGCCCCAGAGCGTCGTGATGCTCTCCCCGGACGGCCCAGAGCGTCGGGATGCTTTCCCCGGACGCCCCAGAGCGTAGCGATTCTCTCCCGGGACGCCCCAGAGCGTCGCTATGCTCTCCCCGGACGCCCCAGAGCGTCGCGATGCTCTCCCCGGACGCCCGATGCTCTCCCGGGACGCCCTAGAGCGTCGCGATGCTCTCCCCAGCCGCCCCAGAGCGTCGCGATGCTCTCCCCGGACCCCCCAGAGCGCCGCGATGCTCTCCACGGACGCCCCAGAGCGTCGCGATGCTCTCCCCGGACGCCCCAGAGCATCGCGATGCTCTCCCCAGCCGCCCCGGAGCATTGCGATGCTCTCCGGGACGCCCCTGAGAGTCGAGATGTTCTCCCCGGACGCCCCAGAGCATCGCGATGCTCTCCCCGGACGCCCCAGAGCGTCGCGATGCTCTCCCCGGACGCCTCAGAGCGTCGAGATGCTCTCCTCAGCCACCCCAGAGCGTCGCGATGCTCTCCCCGGACGCCCCAGAGCGTCGCGATGCTCTCCTCGGACGCCCCAGAGCGTCGCGATGCTCTCCCCGGACGCCCCAGAGCGTCGCGATGCTCTCCCCGGATGCCCCAGAGCATCGCGATGCTCTCCCAGCCGCCCTAGAGCGTCGTGATGCTCTCCCCGGACGCCCCAGAGCGTCGCGATGCTCTCCCTGAACGCCCCAGAGCGTAGCGATGCTCTCCTCGGACGCCCCAGAGCATCGCGATGCTCTCCCCGGACGCCCCAGAGCGTCGCGATGCTCTCCCCGGACGCCCCAAAGCATCGTGATGCTCTCCCCAGCCGCCCCGGAGCATCGTGATGCTCTCCCCGGACGCCCCAAAGCGTCGCAATGCTCTCCCCGGACGCCCGAGAGCGTCGCGATGCTCTCCCCAGCCGCCCCTAAGCGTCGCGATGCTCTCCCCGAACGCCCCAGAGCGTCGCGATGCTCTCCCCGGACGCCCCAGAGCGTCGCGATGCTCTCCCCGGACGCCCCAGAGCGTCGCGGTGCTCTCCCCGGACGCCCCAGAGCGTCGCGATGCTCTCCCCGGACGCCCCAGAGCGTCGCGATGCTCTCCCCGGACGCCCCAGAGCGTCGAGATGCTCTCCCCGGACGCCCCAGAGCGCCGCGATGCTCTCCCCGGACGCCCCAGAGCGTCGCGATGCTCTCGTCGGACGCTCCAGAGCGTCGCGATGCTCTCCCCGAACGCCCCAGAGCGTCGCGATGCTCTTTCCGGACGCCCGAGAGCGTCGCGATGCTCTACCCGGACGCCCCAGAGCGTCGCGATGCTCTCCCCAGCCGCCCCAGAGCGTCGCGATGCTCTCCCCGGACGCCCCAGAGTGTCGCGATGCTCTCCCCGGACGCCCCAGAGCGTCGCGATGCTCTCCCCCGACGCCCCAGAGCGTCGCGATGCTCTCCCCCGACGCCCCAGAGCGTCACGATGCTCTCCCTGGTTGCCCTAGAGCGTCGCGATGCTCTTCCCGGACGCCCCAGAGCGTCGCTATGCTCTCCCCGGACGCCCCAGAGCATCGCGATGCTCTACCCGGACGGCCCAGAGCGTCGCGATGCTCTCCCCGGACGCCCCAGAGCGTCGCGATGCTCTCCCCGGACGCCCTAGAGCGTCGCGATGCTCTCATCGGACGCCCTTGAGCGTCGCGATGCTCTACCCGGACGCCCCAGAGCGTGCTCTCCCCAGCCGCCCCAGAGCGTCGTAATGCTCTCCCCGGACGCCCCAGAGCGTCGCGATGCTCTCCCCCGACGCCCCAGAGCTTCACGATGCTCTCCCCGGACGCCCCAGAGCGTCGCGATGCTCTCCCCGGACGCCCCAGAGCAGCGCGATGCTCTCCCCGGACGCCCCAGAGCGTTGCGATGCTCTCCCCGGACGCCCCAGAGCGTCACTATGCTCTCCCCGGACGCCCCAGAGCGTCGCTATGCTCTCCCCGGACGCCCCAGAGCGTCGCGATGCTCTCCTTGGACGCCCTAGAGCGTCGCGATGCTCTCCCCGGACGCCCCAGAGCGTCGCTATGGTCTCCCCGGACGCCCCAGAGCATCGCGATGCTCTCCCCGGACGCCCTAGAGCGTCGAGATGCTCACCCCGGACGCCCCGGAGCGTCGCTATGCTCTCCCCGGACGCCCCAGAGCGTCGCGATGCTCTCCCTGGACGCTCCAGAGCATCGCGATGCTCTCCCCGGACGCCCCTGAGCGTAGCTATGGTCTCCCCGGACGCCCCAGAGCGTCGCGATGCTCTCCTCGGACGCCCCAGAGCATCGCGATGCTCTCCCCGGACGCCTTAGAGCATCGCGATGCTCTCCCCGGACGCCCCAGAGCGTCGCGATGCTCTCCCCGGACGCCCCAGAGCATCGTGATGCTCTCCCCAGCCGCCCTGGAGCATCGCGATGCTCTCCCCGGACGCCCCAAAGCGTCGCGATGCTCTCCCCGGACGCCCCAGAGCATCGCGATGCTCTCCCCGGACGCCCCAGAGCGTCGCGATGCTCTCCCCGGACGGCCCAGAGCGTCGCGATGCTCTCTCCGAACGCCCCAGAGTCGCGATGCTCTCCCCGGACGCCCCAGAGCATCGCGATGCTCTCCCCGGACGCCCCAGAGTCGCGATGCTCTCCCCGGACGCCCCAGAGCATCGCGATGCTCTCCCGGACGCCCTTGAGCGTCGCGATGCTCTCCCCGGACGCCCCAGAGCATCGTGATGCTCTCCCTAGCCGCCCGGGAGCATCGCGATGCTCTCCCCAGCCGCCCCAGAGCGTCGTGATGCTCTCCCCGGACGGCCCAGAGCGTCGGGATGCTTTCCCCGGACGCCCCTGAGCGTAGCGATTCTCTCCCGGGACGCCCCAGAGCGTCGCTATGCTCTCCCCGGACGCCCCAGAGCGTCGCGATGCTCTCCCCGGACGCCCGATGCTCTCCCGGGACGCCCTAGAGCGTCGTGATGCTCTCCCCAGCCGCCCCAGAGCGTCGCGATGCTCTCCCCGGACCCCCCAGAGCGCCGCGATGCTCTCCACGGACGCCCCAGAGCGTCGCGATGCTCTCCCCGGACGCCCCAGAGCATCGCGATGCTCTCCCCAGCCGCCCCGGAGCATTGCGATGCTCTCCGGGACGCCCCTGAGAGTCGAGATGTTCTCCCCGGACGCCCCAGAGCATCGCGATGCTCTCCCCGGACGCCCCAGAGCGTCGCGATGCTCTCCCCGGACGCCTCAGAGCGTCGCGATGCTCTCCTCAGCCACCCCAGAGCGTCGCGATGCTCTCCCCGGACGCCCCAGAGCGTCGCGATGCTCTCCTCGGACGCCCCAGAGCGTCGCGATGCTCTCCCCGGACGCCCCAGAGCGTCGCGATGCTCTCCCCGGATGCCCCAGAGCATCGCGATGCTCTCCCAGCCGCCCTAGAGCGTCGTGATGCTCTCCCCGGACGCCCCAGAGCGTCGCGATGCTCTCCCTGAACGCCCCAGAGCGTAGCGATGCTCTCCTCGGACGCCCCAGAGCATCGCGATGCTCTCCCCGGACGCCCCAGAGCGTCGCGATGCTCTCCCCGGACGCCCCAAAGCATCGTGATGCTCTCCCCAGCCGCCCCGGAGCATCGTGATGCTCTCCCCGGACGCCCCAAAGCGTCGCAATGCTCTCCCCGGACGCCCGAGAGCGTCGCGATGCTCTCCCCAGCCGCCCCTAAGCGTCGCGATGCTCTCCCCGAACGCCCCAGAGCGTCGCGATGCTCTCCCCGGACGCCCCAGAGCGTCGCGATGCTCTCCCCGGACGCCCCAGAGCGTCGCGGTGCTCTCCCCGGACGCCCCAGAGCGTCGCGATGCTCTCCCCGGACGCCCCAGAGCGTCGCGATGCTCTCCCCGGACGCCCCAGAGCGTCGAGATGCTCTCCCCGGACGCCCCAGAGCATCGCGATGCTCTTTCCCGCCGCCCCGAAGCATCGCGATGCTCTCCACGGACGCCCCAGAGTGTCGCGATGCTCTCCCCGGACGCCCCAGAGCGTCGCGATGCTCTCCCCGGACGCCCTAGAGCGTCGGGATCCTCTCCCCGAACGCCCCAGAGGGTCGCGATGCTCTCCCCGGCCGCCCCAGAGCGTCGCGATGCTCTCCCCGGACGCCCGAGAGCGTCGCGAAACTCTGCACGCAAGTCGGGGTCATCCGGCGTCGCCACGGTACCACGAGCAAAGTTGATCAGCCCGGCCATCTCCAGTTGGGGCTCGATCGCTTCCTTCCAGGTGAGAATGTCGGGTCGACCGACCAGCAGGGGAGTCACCAAAATCTTATCCGGCGTAAACTTGAAGTAGCCGTAGCTTGGTGCAATCCCGCCTGCTCTCATCTGGGTCGCCGACATCGGCACAGATCCACTTCGTCGACCTCCGATGTCACCCTGCGAGGAGCCTGCAGCCGCCGACGACCGCATCCGTCGCCCCCGAACGCCGCCGACTTTATCGGCGTGAACCACACCACGCTGCCTCGACGACGTGCCTCCCGCACTACTACCGACTTGGTCGCCCCTCGCGTGGACGCCCACGTCGACGCTGCCTTCGTCGTTCACCGGTCGAGGAGACACAGGCCGAGAAGAGTGCTCCGTCGCCCACACGGAACGGATGCCAGCATCGACGACCGCCCAAGGGATGTCGCCGAACTCCTTCGCCTCATGGCGTCTCTTCGCGCTCTCCAGCCGTGCCTCCAGGGTGTCCACCACCCCCGTGTCACCTACGGCGCCTACCATAGTGACTACTGCACAGCTGCCGGCCTACGAACAACTTAGGTAAGGTGCCTAATAAGTCGACTAGACTGAAAGGTAAGTCAGGTGCCGTCCACGCTCACAGCACCATGCGGAGATAACTACTACAACGGGAGCTAGACTATGGGCTAGGCACGGGTGCTCGTGTGATCTCTGCGTTCATTAGTCCTTACTCGTTTTCCTAGTGCACACACTGCTTGCTAGATCACGAGGCAAGTTGGCAAGAGTTTCACTAGAGAAAGTTGACAACAATGATACAATAAAGTTGGCAAGGCAAGACTACATCAGAGCTAGGATGCAAGCAGGTCGACTGCCAGCGCAGCACGGTCGACCGCGCGCCAGCACGACTTGGTCGACCGCGCTCCAGCAGTGCAGAGTCGCGGCTCGCCAACGCTGCCTGTCGATGGCGTGACAATAGCGCAAGTCGACGGCGTGCCAGCGTTGCTCCCGCAGTACAGCATCGCACCCGCTTCGCAGGTGCTCGCAGATGATTGGTGTGCAGTACCTCGTCACCTGCACAGCGCACACACCAAGTCAACTTCTTGTTGACGACAGCTTCTTATCAGCCACGTCGACCTCGGGATACCACCACCAAGGTCGTCCTTGCCAACGACGCCTGGGCGACCTTCGCGCGCCTTCGCAGATCCTCGTCACCCAGGTAACATGGTCGATCGGGCAACCACGTCGACCAGCTGCTCCCGTGTGTGCCCGTCGACCTCCCAAGTCGACGACCACCTCCAATCGACCTCACCAGGTCGACCACTACCCCTGGTCGACCAGCTCCAGGTCGACGTCCCTCATGGTCGACCAGCTCCTCGTCGACCATCATGTTTGGTCGACCACCAGGTCGACCTCACGCCTGGTCGACCAACCACCAAGTCGACCAGCAGTCTGTCAGCCGCACACCCCAGTCGGCTGCCCCAGATTGGCATCACCAAGTCGACGCCCTCCGAAGGTCGACTTCCCAAATCGACCACCCGAAGCTGGCGCCCTCCCGAAGTCGGCGCCCTTGCAATGGCTCCCGTGCAGGTCGACCAACCTTGTCGACCAGCTCGCCCACTGCTACAAGTCGGCTGCACCCCTACACCCGACCACGAAGTCGGCTCCGCCCAAGCGAGAACGGGGCCAACACACAACTCCCGTTGACACCATATAAGAGCGCCAACTCCCCTATAAGAGCGTCAACTCCCCTACAAAAGCGTCAACTCTCCTATAAGAGCGTCAACTCTCATATGAGTGCGTCAATTTCCCTATAAGAGCGTCAACTCTCCTATAAGAGCGTCAACTCTTATATAAGTGCGTCAACTCCCCTATAAAAGCGTCAACTCCCCTATAGAAACGTCACTCTCATATAAGAGTGTCAACTCCCCTATAAGAGCGTCAAATCCCCTATAAGAGCGTCAACTCCCCTATAAGAGCGTCAACTCCCCCATAAGAGCGTCAACTCCCCCATAAGAGCGTCAACTCCCCTATAAAGGTAAACTCTTATGTAAGAGCTTCAACTCTCCCATAAAAGCGCCAACTCTCATAGAAGTGCGTCAACTGCCCCATAAAAGCGTCAACTCCCCTATAAGAGCGTCAACCCCCCTATAAGAGCGTCGACTCCCCTATAAGAGCGTCAGCTCCCCTATAAGAGCGTCAACTCCCCTATAAGAGCGTCAGCTCCCCAATAAAAGCGCCAACTCTCCTATAAGAGCGTCAACTCTCATATATGTGCGTCAACCCATCTATAAAAGCGTCAACTCTCCTATAAGAGCCTCAACTCTCATATAAGAGCGCCAATTCCCTTATAAGAGCGTCAACTCCCCTATAAGAGCGTCAACTCCGCTATAAGAGCGTCAACCTCCCCATAAGAGCGTCAACTCCCCTATAAGAGCGTCAACTCCCCTATAAAAATGTCAACTCCCCTATAAGAGCGTCAACTCCTCTATAAGAGCGTCAATTCCCCCATAAGAGCGTCAATTCCCCTAAAAGAGCGTAAACTCCCCTATAAGAGCGTCAACTCCCCTATAAATATTATAGTCACAATAGGCTTCAATGTGCCTAGAACGAAAGATAGGGTGCACAGTCGGATTTCCGCACAGCGGCTTTAAACTTTCATAGCGATCTGGTCACGGCTCCAAATGACCTCATTCAACTTGGATCTGGAGCGTCTTAACGTCGCCTACAATAGGCAATAAAGATCGCACGATTTCATCAGGAATTGATGACACAGCGTCAGATCGAACGAACGGCACTATGGCAGCAACATAGTCTTAGAAGACATAATTACGAACAGCTAGGAAGAGTTGCGAGTTGGGAAGGACTCCCAGCTCCTACAAACCCCAAGAGCCGAGGTACAGTGATGGAGAACAGTGCCAAACTGTCCCCGACCAAGAAGGGTCTCGAAACTACCCTTCAGAAGGGCCTACACCAACTGAAATGTTACACTACCCTTTGTGATGTAACTATCTTCAATCTCTTGAGGTATAGCCTTTTGGCGAGCTTCAAAAACACTTGAAGCTTGAACCAAGGCTCGGGTTCTTCATCACAAAACTCATCCTTGAGTTCTTGATGGGTCTGCTGGACAAACCTGCAACACGCCGAACGTTCGACACAGGACAAAATAGAAACCGCGCACGGGACACACGACAAAATAAAAACCGCGCGCGAGACACAAATGACCGCATTAACACGCGGCTAGCGATAACTCGCTATTGACTCGACACACACACTCGACATCATGACCCATCATACACACACATTATAAGCATGAAATATATATTAATTTCATGCACTCATACCACTCCATGCACACACGCATGCACGCACACGCACACGGACAACAAGCCAAGTGCAAACCGTAGGGTTGCACCAATGCAACACTTGCAATGCTGCTGCTCCACCAGACTCTTAATCATCATGTCTGCTGGCTGCCCCGTCGTCTTCACGTAGCGCAGCTCAACTTCACCCGCGGCCACCATGCTCCTCGTCCAATGCCACTTCACCCTCATGTGCTTGGTCAGGCCGTGTAACACAAGGTTCTTGGCTACAGCTATGGCTCCCTGGCTGTCACAATAGAGAGGGGTAGGTCCTTGCTGCTCCTCCCCCAATTCAGCCAGCAAACGCCGCTGCCACACAATCTCCCGTACGGCACGGAAGAGTGCCATGTACTCGAACTCCACCGAGCTCAATGCTTGGTCCACCTGCTTCTTGCTCTCCCAAGCAGTTGGGCCTCCTCCAACATGGCATATGAACCCTCCAACACTTGTCATGTCCTCTGGTTCCGATGCATAGGAGGCATCCGAGAATGCGGTGAGGAACAAACGCCCGGGTTCCACACCATCCGCGCCCTTTTGGCGCCTTTGTGTTGCCGCCGAGTATTGCACCCCAACGGTCGGTGTTTGGCCAAGGTACTTGGCCACCCTCATCCCAGCTGCTACCTACTCCTCATTAGGGCATTGCACCACCCTAGCCAGCTGCCAGGTAGCAAACGCGACATCCGGTCGTGTGTTGACTGCCGCATACATGAGGCTGCCCACCAATGAGTGAAAACGGCGCCTCTCCTCTTCACCCACGCTCTCCTCCTCTGGTCCCTTCACACACTTGAACCCAGAAGGAAAGGGAGTAGCCATATAGCCTTCATTCTGCCCAAAGTTGGCAGCCAATGCCTCCAGGTACTTCTGTTGGTGCACCCGCATGCACCGCTTCTCCACATCACGCTCGATGTGAAGCCCGAGGTAGAAGTTCACGTCCCCAAGGGACTTGCACTTGAACTTGTCTTGAAGCTTCAGCATCACCTCCTTCACAAGGTCAGAGGAGGGTGAGAAGATCAGGATGTCGTCCACGTAGACCACCATGAAGCTCCTCTGCTCCCCCTCGCCAAGCATGAACAAGGAGTGATCGGCCGTTGAGGGAGTGAAGCCGATCTCCTCCAACACTTCACGCAGCTTCAGGTAACATTGTCTAGGGGCCTGCTTCAGCCCATAGAGGGCCTTCTTCAGCTTCCACACTCTGCCACTACCATCATCAAACCCTTCCGGCTGCGCCATGAAAATCTCCTCCTCGAGGATTCCGTTGAGGAACGCCGTTACGATGTCTAGCTGCTTCACCACCCAACATTTGATCGCGGCTCCCGCGAGTAGGGTTCGCAGCGTCGTCGGCTTCACCATAGGAGCAAACAGCTCCTTGTAGTCCACATTCTCCTTCTGCTGGTACCCCTTGGCCACCAGCCTAGACTTGTAACGCTCAATCTTGCCGTCGGCGTCGGACTTTATCTTGAAGAGCCACTTGGACGTTATTGCCGTACGCCCCTCCGGCAACTCCAACAACTCAAACGTATCGTTCTCCTCAATGCTCTTCAGCTCACTCTCCATGGCCTTCTTCCACTCCTCAGCATCACCACTCTTCAAGGCCTCCTTGAGAGTTGCTGATTCTCCCGGCATCTCCACCGGAGAGAAGAATGTGAAGGCACACTCCTCGTAGTCACTCTCCTCGTCGTCTCCGACCATCATTGCCGCTCCAGCTTGGGCCGTCTTGCCCTGCTTCCCCGGCGCATCATAGGTCAGCCTATTGGGGGCTTGAACTTTCCTCTTGACCCTTCCTTCCTCCTCAGCTGCAGGGACTTGAAGGCCTTGGCGTTGTTGCGGTGTAGCTCGGTTCCATGGAGCACTCGTAGTGCGAGTAGGAAGTGTCGGTGCACGCTCGCTCACTTGCTGCACCTCCTCCTCTTCTTCCTCTGCTTCCTTGGCCTCCTCCCCCCCATTCACAAGGGAAGATTGCCTTGTGGTGGTGCTGCCGCTGCTCAGCTCCAAAGGCAGCTCCACGTGCTCCAAGCCGGAACTCTTTACCTCCCCAAACCGCACGCCTATCTTCGCCTCATTCTCCGCCTTCCAATCCTTGTACATGAAGTTCTCCATGAACTTGCAGTCCCTGATCACCATGAACTTCTTGGTGAATGGGTCCCACAGAAGCCACCCCTTGCTGTTTTGAGCCATGCCTAAGTG